ATGGAAAACCATGGATGAAAAGGGTGCTAATACCTTTCCTTTTCATAATCTACCCCCTGAACTCAAGAAAATATCTCTAAAGGTATTTCATGTTCTTTTCAGCCTTTCCTTTTGGATAAAAGAAAAGTCAGTGGTGACTCTTGCTAACCGCAACATTTGCGAATACAAACGCAAAACAACCAAGTAAGTTCTCCCACCGCATCACACTCTTTAATCTTTGGCTTGTCTATTGAAAAGGCTCGTGTTTTTTATTTTATTTTTTTAATCAATCTCTTATTGTAGTTGTGTGAAATTATTTTGTTCTTATATTTTCATAGCCACTGCTTTGTGATTGTCTGGCTACAACAAATTGGAAAGGTGTCAGTTATGGAAGTAGATTCTTAACATGTTCTATGATTGCAATAATGTTTGAGAATTTTTTAATGCAATCTATATCTTTCTTAAGAATCGGCGTGAATTTTCAAAAATGCTTTCAGGAACTGGAAATGTATTTCTAGGATGCACTAACATCTAATTATAATTGAAAGTGTATTTTTAATATTTTCCATTACAGAATGTGCGAAAGCAGCACTTACACATTATATCAAGATTCTCAAACAAAACACAAAATTATATAAAGTAAGCAATACATATAAGATTTAAACATATATGCAACATTACACTTCAACATCCGAGTGAATATTTCAACTGCTTCAAAATTTCATCGACCGTTCTTGTAATTATCACATCAAGGTCGATTTGAACTTTTTCATCGTAATCGAAAAAGGTTTCCCATATAGCCCGATAACAAAGTGAAAGTTTCTAACATGCTAAACGATATTTATTTTTTGTTTTAGTGTTTAGACATGAGATCACATGAGGGGGAGGGATGAGTTTCTTATACAGTAGTTTGAGGATGCTATGGACCACACACATCCTATCTGCTGATAGAATGAAAACTGAAAATGTATTTCCGGTTACACCTTAACTTGAAAACCGGAAGTACATTGTCGGTAAAGTCTCTGGAACTAAAAACCAAAAATAGAGAAATAACAGAAAGAGCAGATTGTATAAAAATATAATAATATATTTTATAACTATCAAAATGGGAAATTCCACATCATAATTCATTAACAAAAAGACATATACATCAAAGTCATATTTAACTACTTAAAAGATCTGAAGTAATTGTCTCTCGACCAATCCACAAGTGGTACACCCTTTGATTTTTCCTTGTTTTTTATAATTTCAATGTTCTTCAACTTGATGTACTCTTGCATCCTTTCAATAAACTGGTCCGGCCAAGTCTCAGATTGGTTTGTGTAATGATTCGTCCACTCTGGTGATGTAGATGGTATAGGGCATCCCGATTTCAAATGCACTTGAACAAAATGTCGGGAAATTGAAACCCACCCAACACAAGTTATACAATTAGTGGAATTAGATGTTGGAGCAGTGCTCAATGAGATAAAAGTTTCCGAGAAACCATATCTTGTAAGATTAATACACATCCTCTCATACGCACTTGCAATGAGATGGCCCATCTCAAGGAAACACATCCATTTATTCTCCGGTGCAAATTCTTCTATGGATGGTACAAGAGCGTTATAGATTTCTTCAAACTTATTCTTATCCCCGTACACCCGTGTGTACAAATCTTTATGACTCCTCAACTCTTGGATAAGAGTTTGGCGAACAAGTGTGTAATCCTCTTCCCCTTTACCGAGTAAAGCGAAAATAGCCCGAAAACCACAATTACCGCCACCATAAACATTGACGATCCGATCAATATAATTATGCATAAAAACTGACATCTCCTCAATGAACGGTATTTTTGGTGGAGACGGTGGAGTTTGAGGTTTTCTTATGCGAGCACCTTTGAAGACCTTTTTTCTGATATTTCGGTGTCGGTGAATCTGGAAAAATTTTATCAACGTGTTCAAAATATGATGGACTCCTCGTGGTAGAATTTTCACATGGTGTATGTTTGACCTTTTTTGGTGCTCCTTTTGTTTTAACCGGTTGAGACGGTGGTTTCAAGTCGGTTGTCTCTAAAAATGCGATTTTCCTCAATTGCTCTTTGATGTGTAGTTTTGTGTTGTCATCACCTTTCCTAAATATCTCTTGTATTTCTTCCCATTCTGTCAAGATTGTGATACTTGACTTTCCCTCTTCCATTGCATTGTCGTCTTCAAAATTCAACCTCTTTCAATGACTACATACTTCTTCCATTCGTATCGGGCTATCAAGTTTCACCTTCTTAGATATGACACGAGCACACAGGAGACCATATGTTTTCAAAATTGTACAACCACACTTAGAGGTATCGGAGCCTAAGTCAGAGGCTAGTTTGGCTTCATAAAAAATTAAATTAAGAGCTGATTGTGATATGTTGCCCACCAACTGAGAATAAAGAAAATTGTCTTTGAACCTGTGTTCCAACACTGATACTATGACCAAATAATGTTTGAATTTCATTATGCTGGTTAAGTACCATTTGGTTCACGGATTCTCAACCCGTACATAAATCATCCTTGCTATTTCCCAATCAATTCTTCAAACATGCATGAGCCGACTCAACTCGATTTGTTATTGTATTTCCAATATGCATAAACTAATATGTCCATGCATAAACAGTCTTCTCCTTCATCTGATCCAAAATTGTAGTCTCAACGTATTTCAACAAATTGAGATATTTATCGCACACCTTCCTGAAATATATAACAGTTTCAGCATATAAATCTTTGGTAGATCCAGTTATGATAACATTCTAAGCAACCATAATTTTCTCCACAACAACGCCCGACTTAACTAGTTTACCCTATTCAGTCTCAATCAGACTCGTCCATACGGTTGCCTTTATCCGACTTCTCACATTTTTAGTAATGTGATACTTACAAAGTAAGGCAGAAGAACTCGGAAACACCTTCGCAACAAAATTTATCAGTGTTGTATCGCAGTTGGTAATAATGACTTTCAGAATGCTTTCTTGGTCCTTTAACATTGACCGACAAACCTCTAAAGCCCATGCAAAATTGTTCTTTTTTTCGCACTCTTGAAATGTAAAATCAATGGAATATGTCATTTCAGTCGACGTGACACCGACAATTTCCAACAATGGCAACATGTACCTATTGGTCTTATACGTCAAATCAATTATAAGCACGGTAGGAAACATATTAAACAATTTAATGGAATCAATCTAAGTCCAACATATATTTCTTACCGTTACTTTATCCTCGCATCTTTGGTGCCTACAAATGTAGTTGTTATTATCTAAAGGCTTCAAGAGTTATTGCATTTCGGTTCGATCCCCTATAAGCACCAATTTTGTTTGGTAGCACTGATTGTAAACTTGCCTGATGTTTTAAATATTATCGAGTCTTTTGCACTTCAACGTGCTAAGTATGTTTTTTGGAGCGACCAAATTTAGTGTCATGTCGGACACACGTTCCTTCTCTTTTTCCAAGAGGCGACATGCACTTGGATGACCGGCTAACTTTGCATTTAAATCATGATTATGTAAACCACTCATGACATTGAACCTCAAATTATCATTTTCCAACTGATACTCATGTAGCTTAAATGGACACTGACATTTTGTTAAACCAATATCATTTATTTGAAAATTCTTGATAGGCCGCCTATATATCCTACTTCTTTCACATGTCAATGTCACAAAATACAGGTCGTATATCTGAACCACTATCAAACCTTCCTATCACAACACTAAAGTCTAGTTTGACGGCCTCCGTACGAATCCACTGCATCATGACATCTCGAGATTCATATTCTTGTTCATTTGTAAAATGCTTCCGCACATCGACCTCCTTGATAACAATAGGCGAAACAACAATAGGAGAAACACCTTGAGACATAATAGGAGAAATACTTTGGGAAAGAATAGGCGAGACACCTTGATATACATTAGGTGTTTCTTGAGACACAATAGCTTTGAGACAATTATCGGGATACACCATACCTAAATGTAAAAATAGATTAAACTAAGAAATATCCTAGGTAAAGTTGTTGGAAATAGCTGTTACAGGAATCAAAAGTACATTTCCGGTTAAGTTCATATGTAAACCGGAAAATATATTTCTGGTATTAACGTGACATTTTTTCTATAGAAACGGTAGATTAATGTGGTAAATATAGATTTAAAAGAGGAATCTTTACCTTAAATTCAGTTTCTTTTAGCTCCTTTTAATATAATGTATCACAAGAATGTTGATTTTGAATGAAAAATGATATTGAAAATGTGAGAATTTTTTGAGAGTATTTTGATCACCTTTTTAAATGAGCATGATTAATATCCCATATACCTTGTTGTTTAAGGCTTTTGATTTCTCATAATAAACCGAAAATGTATATCTAATTACGAAATAATACTATCATTAAATTAATAATACAAACAGTGAAATCATGATTGGTTAAATCCAAAACAAAACTGAAGAGATAGCTTATGTCCAACCAACCTTTAGATGCATGCCATCACAATTATAATATACAAGTAAATTCAGAACCATCTAATGTAATTTGGAAAGAAAGCATCGTAGCTAAAGCAAAATTATTGTCTTAGTATTAAAGTTAGAGTTTTAGGTTGTTGGTTGTTGGTTAACTAAGGATCATTTAGAACCACCCATTGTCTCATGTAATCTATAGAACAATAGAATATTCTAGACTATACCAAAAATGGTAAAAACAATATTTGAGGTCCTGAAAGTTCCAAGTTTACCACAACACTTTGTAGTTGTAACTAGAGCCACGTCTGTTGCTTTTTCCATGTGTGGACAAATGAAGCCACGTGAATGAATTACCTTTTAGGATCTTTTTACACACTACGTGGAACGTACATATCCACCACAATATGCTTCCCATTCTATTCTATATAAACAACCTCCTTTAATGCCTATCTCACCAACTTAACAATCTAAGGGTTTAAGAGTTCAACTAGTGGATTTTCGAAAGCTCTTCATATCCTTAGTCTATCTCACTGCTTCTTGAGTTTTGTATTAACAATGGCTGTTTCATCTTGTCAATCTATTATGTCAAGTTCTGTGACTAACTTTTCTACCAGATCTAGGGTTAACCACTTTACCAACATCCCTTCTGCCTACAATGTTTCAAGCCTCAGAAGGAATGTCAGCCTCAAAGTTCGTTCTATGACTGAGGTAATTATGATCTTATCAAACATATTATAAAGATTTTATATTTAGTATTTGCTTATGCATATGTAATATGTTTATGATTTAAGAATGATTAGTTGTTAATTACTTATTGCATTGTTCAGGGAGAGCAGAAAGAGCAATCAAAGGTGTCTGTAGACCCAATTGTACCACCGTCGACACCAACACCATCATCACAGCCAGCCTTCACTCGTCCAGCAAAGGTGTGCGTAGTAACACATAATTATTAGTTTTTTTATGTTAGATTTTTTATATAAAGCATTGATTTTGGTCCAAATTAATGAGTCCCTTTAAATAAATAATAATGATTAATGATGATATGGCAGATGAGCACAAAGTTTTCAGATTTGATGGCTTTTAGTGGGCCAGTACCTGAGAGGATCAATGGAAGGTTGGCTATGATTGGTTTTGTAGCAGCAATGGGGGTGGAGATAGCAAAAGGGCAGGGTTTGTTTGAACAATTGTCTGGTGGTGGAGTTCCATGGTTCTTGGGGACAAGTGTATTGTTGTCACTAGCTTCATTGATTCCATTTTTGCAAGGTGTAAGTGTTGAGTCTAAATCTAAAAGTATCATGTCCTCAGATGCAGAGTTGTGGAATGGAAGAATCGCTATGTTGGGTTTAGTTGCTTTGGCATTCACAGAGTATGTTAAGGGTACATCTCTTGTGTAATACATTTCTTTGGGGGCACATATAAGATCTATAGGATTTGTGGTTAGAATCCAATCTTTGAATTGTTTATGTAAATTTTTACTCCTCAGAGGTACTTCTATGTACAAGAGAGAGTAATTAAACTCTCTTTATACTTGAAAAGAGCTTCTCTTATTTCATACTTATTTGCCCTATGACCCCCTTATTTGCTCAAGGTTTACCATTCGAATAGTGTTTTAATTTTTTTTATCATCTCTTATTACAGTCGTGTTAAACTATTTTGTTATTGTGGTTTCAAGAAGAAATCTGCTGAAGGAGTTCAAACAATTCCTAATGTTGTCGCACTTTGCGGTGCAATGCTATTGATTTAGTACTATGTATTTGTTAAAAGAGAAGCTACTCTTAACACCATTAAATTTTATTTAAGAGAAATAATATATAAATATTTTTAACAATTTAAAAGTAAATATCGTAATAAAAAACAAATATACCAAAATATGAGAATAAAAAAAGCCACTAATGAAATCTCTGTCATTTAAATATGCAGAACTAAACTTGTATATTACACTTAACTTGCAATCATATATTTTCATTTAAGCGAAATGTTTCTTAGATTAATTTATATCGAAGGGATTTAGTTTATATTGAAGGGATTGATACATACTCAATTCCTCCAACATGGTATCAGAGTTAGGTTCGAGAGAAAAAATTGTGGACTCACATTTGAGGAGAAATGAAATAATATAGCAAGTGTGACAAAGTGGGGAAATAGTTCTACATTGGATAGGAATGCGGAGACTTAAACATATATAAGTGAGAGAATTCACTTACCTATTACCTTAAAGTTTTAGGTGGATAAGTGGTATGTCTCTCACAAAAGTGCTTATTCTTATACTATATATCAATCCTTCCAACAATTTATATTGGTTTTTAAAGTTAATTGAGGATCAGAGCTAGCCTATTAGATGAAGTGAGAAAGAAACTTAATTGAGTCCTCTATAATTCAACAACCACTCTAAGTGTGAGTGGTTGCTTTCCTGAAATCTAGAAGATGTGATTAAGTCCCCGACTTTCTGTATAGCGTTTGTTGATCGATTAGACGTTTTATGCACGATCATGTGTCATGGACATGAAATTCAAGGACTTATGCGACATATCTATACAACGGAAAGTCAAATCAAAATAAGGGCGCTCGAACTAATGCAAGAGAGATTTGATAGGGTAAAAGGCAAAGTGCGTGCCCCTCGCCTTGCCCCCAAAGCCTCTCTAAATTATACCACTATCTAGGGGTGTTCGCAGTTTGGTTTGGATTGATTTTAAAGCAAAAACTCATCTGATCCAAAGATAAATTTACTTGTGGTTCGGTTCGATTTTGGATGATATATTAAAAAAATTTAATCCGATCCAATTTTATGCGATTTAATTTGGATCGGTTTTTGGATATCCAAATTACAAATTATATTTTTATTAATATTATAAAACCACTAATAAATCATAGACTTGATATAATATATAACGTATAGTATATTAAAAGTTAATATTACAAAATGAGAGTGATTGATTATGGTTGAAATAATAAAAATAAATAGATTAAACCAACCTAATAAATATTATTAAAAAAATTATTATCATCTAATAATAAATTCACATAACATATCATACTAATAAAAAGTAAATAAGTATAAAAATATATGTATGCGGTTCGGTTCGGTTTGGATCAGTTTTGAAAAATTCATTCGAAATTCGATCTGAACCGATCGGTTTTTATAAAATGACATTCAAACACATCCAACAAATTTTGGTTTTTTGCGGTTTTTGGTTTTTTGGATCGGTTTTCAATTTTTTATTTGGATTGGTTTGAATTTGAACACCCCTTCCACTACCTAGTCCCTCAGAGGGCATGTAGAGGTTGGAGTGATTTAATTCCTTACTTATCTTTGGACCTTTAGGATGAGCCTCGTCGAGTCTCTGCCCTTTCCCTCCTATCTCGAATGTTCCATCAGGATAAGATTTAGTTGAGTCTCTTTGACGAGACTTAGTTAAGACCATCAAGAGAGACTTAGTTGAGTCCCTCAGGCGAGACTTATTTTAGTCCCTCATGTGAGACTTAGTTGAAACCCTCATGCGAGACTTAGTTAAGTCACTCGGGCGAAACTTAGTTGAGTCACTCAGACATTCTTACATGTGTCTTCTTGGGTGATCTGTGTCGGTCTGAAAAACTTGAAGCGTCCGCGACACATTTAATGCCAACAATGATGGTTTACCCTTGGGACGCCCAATAGGTATTTTCCTTTGACACATGTTAAATCGTGTGAAACGTTTCATATCTAATTTTAAACCTAAAGACCTTTGATAACTCTTAGTTTCCCTCCCCATTTAAGGAGACAAGAACCAACTTTCCCCCCTTTATTTTACGAGTTTCCTTACTTAGGGTTTGCAAAAAATTTGTCATGCCTTAAGAAATTTCTCCCTCTTCGCGAGATCAAGTTCAAGTATTACGCATGTACTTTCCCTTTTATTTAGAGGGGGTGAGTTGAAACCTTAACTCGTGACGAATGCATAGCCCTGTGGAACTATTGTTATAGGAACGCTAAATGCCACAATGAGAATGTTGATTGTAAATTAGTGGAACTAGGCATGTTTAGAAGCTGTAGGAGCTCTCATAATTCTGAGAGTGAAAGTACTAGTGGAAGTGATAATGACTCCTCTTTTCCTTCTGTTTTCCTAGGAAACAGGACAATCATGGTATTTCTGACCCCGAGTCCAAACATGCGAGGGAAGTCAAATCCACATATACCACCAACAACGATATAACATCTATTTTCCAGCAAATTACTTTTTCTTCTTCTAGTGATGAAGAAGAGGTTGTTCCGGAGGTGTTCTCTCTAGAGGAAATGGACCATATGTCCGCTTTTGATGCCTCTTCTACTTCTTCCTTTAACTTCTATGGCCCATTATCTGTGAGATTAAGGTTCACCTCCCATTTTCTTCCTTTGATGTGGAGGTTCTTACGACACTCAACATTGATCCCTGCTAGATTACGCCTAATGGATGAAGCCTGATTCAAGCCTTTGAGATTATATGTTGACAATTGAGGATTGACCCAACCATTGGCGTGTTTTTCTATTTTTATTGTACCAAGGTGCCTGCCCCGTGGGGTTGGGAAACTCTGGTCTTCCTTCCTGAAAGGCTTTGTTTAAACCTCACTCTAACCAATTTAAAGTTGTAGGGAACAGTTTATGTAATTGAGGGGGGAAGGGTGGCTCCTCCCATAGGTTTTCTCTCATTTTGAATGACAATCCCACGATGATAAATGGATATGATTGTGAATGCCTTACTGATTATGTGGCTGAAGAGTGCAGATTTTTGATGGTTTTAAGATTATGGGATCCCACACCATGATCACCCTAGCTTAGGGGAATAAGGAATCTCTTGATAAATATATAAGTGAATTAAATGATGTCACCCTTTATTATGTTTAATACATCTTGTGCTAATCAATTACTTTCACCTTTGTTGTAGAGAATATGTCTAAGATCTCGGTCGAGGAGATGGGAGCACCTCACCAAGCGTAAAGATCAGTGCACCGGACTAGACAACTTTCAAAGTATTATCGAACACATAATACATAGGGGTTAAGCATCAAAATGAGGTCAAGGCCTAAATTGAGTCTCTGGCCCTAAAGGTTCAGAGGTGGGAGGCGAATCTTCCCATAAGGATAAGGTGGCTCTAGCAGCTATTGTGGATGAGTCATCATCTTCACCAAGGAGGGACCCACTAACTAGAAGTTCTTTATGGTGCAATGACACCTTTTATGCTATCAAGTTAATAGAAGCTCACCTTCCCTTCCCTGAAGACTTCCAGGTGGACTACAAGGAGATATGTGACCATCTTTACCTAAAACGATCTAACCTTAAGTAGATCCATATGTTAAGGGTTCTCCTAATGGATCGAATGTACAGGGAGGAGAGCGACAAGGAAGATAAGGAGCAAAAGGCGAAGCTCTCCAAGTACCAAAGGGACCTGGTTAAAGGGAATGCTCTAATTGAGACTTTGCAAGCAAAGAAGGTGATCATATCGGGAAAACTTTAGAAGACGAATTCCAAATCCTATGAGTTCGCTACAAAAGAATGGGAGCTATAAGAATCCGTGGAAAATTCTATTAGAACAAGATTTGATTCTGTAATTTTATCTCTGGGTTTTGATGATAATAAATGAGTATATTTGTATGAACAATTTTGGTACTCTGATGTTTGTTATTTTTAATATTTAACAAACAGGTTTTGCTTCTGATAAACGGTGTTGCCAAGACATTAGAAGAGAATAAGTTCCTCTTCTAAGCTACACAAGTTCTGATGAACGGTAGCAAAAGCTTCATAAGGCTATGAAGTAATGACTCTGATACTCGTCCAAGAGACCAAGTTCTAAAGATCTGAAGATAGAAATTCTGACTGAAGTCCAGATGCTATGTTTCTGAAGACAAAGGGTTCTCAAGACCAAGTGCTAAAGATTCTCAAGACGAAGTTCTGAAGATTCTAAAGACTTGAAGTTTTGATGACCCAAGGTTCGACAAATGTTTCTAAAGACCAACTGCTGAAGATTTTGAAGATGAAAGTTCTGAAGACTTGAAGTTATGAAGACCCAAGTGTTATTCTCATTCTCCCAACGCATGTTTGATTAAAAGCCTCTGAATTTTGAAGAAAAGAGGATAAGATTTCATGGTACAAAAGTACATGGTACAAACAAATTATTTCATTCCACTACCGTGGAGGACGGATGTTGCATACAATCTTGTCCTCCATATAATTCAAGCTTCCAGCTCTCTAGAAATTCCAAAAATAACCTCCAACGGTTATAATATTTTATTGGCTTTAAAATGGCTTGAAGACTAAGAGAGAAGACTGCTAATTCACGTTCTAAAAAGACTGTTCATACACTTCCGTATTTCTTTAGTCTATATTATTGAAAATTTGTTTACTTATTCACTTGTGTTAGAAGCATATCTTTTGTAAACAAATTTT